TATTAATGAGATATTAATGATTTTTCACCGACCGACTTGGTTTAGACTGTGATTAGTCGAGCTTGGGTGCCCGCCAGCCAATAGGAAGCGTTCTCTCTCTGTCCTTCTCGCACACTAGTTCTTTCCTTGTCTAATACCTCTGTTTATATCCTGTAATCCTATTAGAAAATCGTAGTTCGCGTCACCTGACGCTAGATGGCGTTAGTTTCGGATTTCAAATTTTCTATCCTTGTCTAACTTATGGGAAGAATAGGACGAACGTACAAAAAGGACATTACTTCTTCTAATTTTTAATAAATGTTATAAACAATTTCCGACCAATCTACCGAATACAAATGGTTTATTTAATGTAAAAGAAGTATCTTAACCTGTTTTATTAAATTAAAGCATACAATAATTTTATTTAAGACTTCCAATAATTATAAACAACCATGTAAGTTGTTTTTCGACATTAAACATTGTTACGCTTGAATGCCGCGTATGTTTACGGTATTTCAATCATTTCATAGCTCTCTGCTAAATTGTCATGCAAATAACTTGTATATGCATCCGAAAGGCAACTCCTTTAGCTACGTTCTTTTATAATTTTTATTTACATATTCCGTTTACCGTAGGAGTTATTATACATTATATGGGAGAGTCCCGTTTACATCGTACGTGTGTATAGTGATCTGTTATAAACAATGTACATAGTAGGAGGTGTAACGACGAAATAAAAAGTACAGCTAGTGATTTAAAACAATAATTTATTCTGTAAAGAACTATCTTATCGACTTATACTAATCCTAGTGGACAGGTTATTGCATCTGCTTCCTTTAAATGATAAATCGTCGCTTACAGTACCGAGTAAATCAGTAAAACTACGACTAATATATTCTTAAATACTATTCAACGTATTTACAAACACCGCATCCTGCATACACGTATGCTTCGTTTCTTTTCTCCCATTCTTCGATAAGAATTAACGACGTTCTTTATGTTACACGTTCGTCCAGGTAGATCGTAGAATACAATTCAACATACAAAACATGTAATATTGTTGTTAACGATTAACCGAAAAGGAGACAAGGTAACGTGTTTTAAACAACGAAATTCAACGCTATCATCCTTAAAACTAATAATACGTTAACGAAATAAAATGATCGTTCACGAATTGCTAAATTAACAGAATAGTAAATATAATATAGACAGGAATCGTCACAATTTATTACACTATCTCGCGGAACTGCAAAAGAGTCAGGATTGCAAATAGCTGTATTACTATGTGATAATTCTTACAATCTTACCCTATTTTATACGTATATAACTCTGTACACAACTGTGCGAATAAAATAATAATCTTGGAACAATAACAATACTATTTTCCATAACTTAGTTCATTACGAAGAAAATGTAGTTACCATTACTAATAATAATGAATAATCACGTGAACGATCGGTATAGCAGTTAACTACACGAATAAATGTCAAAGTTGAACAAACATCTCTCAACAAAAGTTTCGTATACCTTTCAAACGTAAAATCACTTATCATACGGTAAAATCCTTATGTTTAAAATCGAAGAAAATTCAACTATACAATAGAAACATTTACTTTATCCCATATAATAAATCAACAGTTTTTTGTCCTCGTCTGTCAAAGAGACGACGGATTTAAGCTTGATTTTAGTCCAAGAGAATGACAATAGTCTCTTAAATTCTCATCGGACCAATTACAAAATGATTTATTCCAATTTTATAGGATCCCGAGCGACGAGAAACGATCACGATTCCATTTTCTCTGGTTCACCATCTCCCTCCTCCTGTTCAATTTTCAACATCTTCTCCGTTTCCATTTTCTTCTCCCCTTCTCGATTCTCTTGCTCCACTTGTTCATCAACATTGATCTCTTCTTCCTCGTCCTGTGCCTCCGGAAGAATTTCTTCCTTCACCGTAACCCCTTCCTCGTCGCAGTTTCTCTCCTCTGGCTCTTTTGGCTTCTGCTCAGCGATGTTCTGAGCGTTTTCAACAGGCGACGGTAATTCTCCTGGTCGATGAAACGTCAGCATATGGTGATCCAATTCCGCCCTGAAGAAGAATTTCAGGGTACACTTGGAGCAGTCGTATGGACGGGCTCCTAGACCATGCTCCTGAAGCATGTGATTCTGAAAATAAACAAAGGATAAAGAATTAAAAAGAAAGAAAGAAAACAGAAATATGAAGAGAAGCAGAATTTTCCAATAATCACCTGAAGGCCAATGGGTGCGGTGAACAGAGACTGGCAAATGTAGCAACTGAGAGCGGCACACCCAGCAAAAGTGTGCTCTATCAAATGGCTCTGAAGCTGTAAAGGACTGCTAGCCTCGAATAAACACAAGTGACATCTTAGAGCCTCTATAGAGGCTTTCCCTGATGCTTCCAAGTGCTCTTTTCTTACATGTTGCTGTATTTTGGCCTCCGATGAGAAGGACATCTGAAAAAGGAATAATTCATCCTTGCAGAACTGCTGTACTCTACATAAAAATATCAGTACTTGTATGAACCAGTGGCACTTAGTACCTGGCACTGTATACAGGTGTATGTGTTTGACGCTGTTCCAGCTTTCTCATGTTCCACCATCCTATGCTTCTCTGCTTCTTCAGGATCTTCAAACTTAACTCCACAATCCTGACACCTTTTGTTATCGTTCACATCGTTCACTCTACTCTCAGATTCCCATCTGTCCCTAGATCCATCCCACTGGCCATCCTTACCACCAGGTATCCAAGGTCTGTCACACTTGGACCTGAGAGCAGCAGGTTCGTACGGTGGATTCAAGATAGGTAAACCTTGAGAGTGACGAATGTAACAGGACTTGCAGACCCTAAGGGACTGTCCTCCACCGCTTATGTGACTAGGAGGCAAACTGACAAAGTCCTCAGCCGAGTAATCTCTCAGGCAAAGGCAGCAGCTTGGATTCTGACTCTTCTGATTCGGACTAGGGCTAGAACCAACGCTGTGCGTGCCTGTAGTCGCTCTCAAATGATGCCTGGCGTGAAGACGACACTCGAAATCGCTGATCAACGTCTGCCTGCAGACTACACACGCTGCTGGTAGATGAGGAAGCGAACCGTCCAATCTTTGCTGAGGATCCACGCTCTCCAGGCTGTGTCTCTGCACGTGTTCCAGAAATTGCGACTCCGAGGTCAGGCTTCCTCGACAAACGATACACGTGTCGCTTAACTGAATCTTGCAATGCTTCTGCAACTTGTGCTCAGCGAGAGTCGCGCCCGATGGACAGACCTCGTCACAGATGTTGCACTTGTGACGCCCTCCAGGCTCGTTCGAAGCGTGCTGGATCCTCGTGTGGGACTCTAATTCAGTCCTCGAGCGACATACTTCTCCGCAATAAGCACAGGTCATGCTTAGATTCGAGATTGATTTATTCTGAAGCTTGGCCGGTGTATGAGCCAGCTTCTTGTGGGCTTGCAGTTCTGCTTCAGTGGTGAACTCTCCTCTTTCGCAGAGGTCGCATTGCTGGGATGGTGTGGCAGTGTAATTTGCTCGTTTGCTGTTGTTGTCACGTTGGTTCAACGAGTTGTTGTTGCTAGACGCTGGAGAACGACCTCGCTTCTGAGACTTGGCCTGTAACGAGAAGGAAGGACAAAGTTGAAACGGATATGAGAATTGTAGGAACGGACCGAAAAAATATCGAGGGACCCAACCGGGAATCGAACCCGGGACCTTCGGGTTAGCAAGCCGAGGCTTTGCGCGCTACGCCAACTACTCCCTCTCTATTCTCCCTTGTCGGTTTCCTATTTTGGGTACGGACGCCCCGATACTACAGAATTGAAGTGATACCTCTTCTTGCAACCTCGGTGGTCTGCCGATCCTCCCATTCTCCCTGCTGCTACTCCTCACACCGCTCTGATGATGATCGCTCGAATGGTGAGACTGGGCGATATGCCTGTCCAGTAAGAACTCCACAGCGAATCCCTCTCTGCAAACTGGACACCTGTACAAGCTAGCCGAGTGACTGGCCAAATGAAGCTGCAATTCCAGCTCGGAGCTGCAGCAGATACCGCAGAAGACGCATCTCGGTCCGGAGGTTCCTGTTATTCCAGGAGTAGATGCAGGACTCCTAGCAGCTGGGCTGCTGTTGGAGACGGTGGGCGGCGCGTGCACGTTCCTCACGTGATTCGCCATCTCCGATTCACTCCTGAAGAAGCTTTTCCCCTCGCCAGGCGCGTTTCCAGGCGAGTTCTCGTTGTTAGGAATGGTGCACGCGTTGCACCGATAAATCCTGCACTCCTGACTGTGTTTCACAGCGAAATGCACCTGTATAGCCACTCTCGAGTCGAAGGTATCCCTGCACAACGCGCATCTGTAGAGATGATGAGCGTGGCTGTCGAGCAGATGCCTCTGAAGGAGGTCAGGATGCGGATAGAGCTTCTTGCAAGCACCGCACGCGTACTCTTTGCTCACTTGACCGAGATAATGCTTGGTCAGATGTGCCAGCATGTCTTCTCTGTCCTGAAAATTAGCCTCGCACTTTGGACAAGGATGCCTGACAACGTCGTTTCTGTGATCAGCTTGAAGATGTCTGGCTAGGTGTTCCCTGAACGACTCGAAGTCCTTCAAAGCAGCGCCACACTGGCCGCACAACAGTGTACCAGCTGTGTAACTGTTCTCCGTGGACGTGGAATGCTTGCTGGTCAGATCGGCTGGCTCCGAGGACGTTTGTTCTCTCGACTTCTGGCACCTCGAGCTCTTCGACTCGTAACCACCGTTCATCTTCGGATCTGCGTACTCTCTGCTCCCGTCTAGCGGCGTTACTCTGCGATTCTCGCAGTGCTGGAGAACGTAGTGTTCGGCGTAGGCGGCTGCAGAGGTGCAGGGAATACCGCATAGAGGACACATCATCAAAGCGGAGCCAAAACCGTCGGTTCTGTGGATGGAAACGAGATGATCTCTCAGAGAACCAAGCGTAGAGAACTTCATCGTGCACTGATTGCACGTTAAAGCGTTCTCGTAGTGCTCTTTCTCTATCGATCTCTCCGAGTCCTCTTGGTACTTTCTCTTCTCGTGATCTTTCGACGATCCATCAGGACGATCCAGTGTCTTCTCCCGTTGATAGGCTACGTGCTCGTTGGTTCTGTTTGGTGACGGTGACACCGCCACGTTCTCACCGCTAAGAATCGCCTGGTGCATCGTGTGCACGTGCATCTGAAGTTGCTGCATACAGCTGAAGGAATCTCTGGTGCAATACATGCAGGCCAGTTTCAACGGCGAGCTTAGTATCGGCGTGGTCGATGCGCTGCCCTGAGAACTTTTCAGGCCTGTTTTCGAGTTCAACGCGAGATTTAAGGATGGCGAAGGCGAGCTTGGAACCGGTGGCGAGGACGTGCTGTGAGAGGACACGCTTCTTCGACCGTAGTCGATGTCCTGGAGTTTCGTCGCTCCTTGGGATTGATGGTGGTGCTTCTTGTGAGACTGCATGTGAGACGTTAGAGCAGCCGCTGTGTTGTACCCTCTGGAGCAGGCGGTGCACTGGTACGGCTTCTGCGTGTCGTGTGTCTTCATGTGAATCTTCAAGTGATCGCTGAAAGACAGAGGAGACAGACTGTTGTGAAAATTGTCGACACTTTTTTACAAGTAGAATTCTTCTAATATTCCTGTAACTTCCCAACATGGAACATCTCGCGAAAACACGATGAAATTGTGTGAATTTTTCCGAGTACAGCATACGCGAATTTACGAAAATCATGAATGAAAATGTTCGTTTTATCCCTGGAAATAACAACGACAGGATTCTTCTAGTATTCCTGTAACTTCCCAACATGGAACATCTCGCGAAAATTGGGTGAAAATATTGGAAAAGCATCTGGAAGCGTTGACGCGATAAATAATCAGAGAACGACAGAAGCTCCGTATCAGGAGTTTTAGGAAACTGTCAGATTGGTATTGGCTCTGTATCAGCTTGATGAAAATAAAAGGGGCACAGATGATAGGACAACAATTTTCCGCGGTGCAAGTCCCATGAAATATTCATCTGTCCGGTGGAAAACTAAATCCGTTATAAGGCGAGGTCATCGGTTGGTCGAACCGGTCAGTGTCTCGGTGTTCAGAAACGAAGACGGACGGCAAATTCGCTCTTGCACTTTGCGTTTGAATAATTCATGCGGCTGGATTATCGACTGGTTACGTTCTGGCCGTCCTATTATCGCGTGTATCGCCCCAGCCGAGCGGTTCCTCTGTCGAAATAGCTGGAAAAAGGACACCGGAAAAAATCCAAGTGTCACCCTGTTATTTCTACGACTTCACAAACGTCTCGGCTATTCTCCAGAAATTCACCAGTATCAAACGGTGGTGTGGTATTTTTATTTCAACCATCGAACGTCTCTTTCTTTTTCTTTATCTTTTCAATTCGACAATTAGAGAGAGAGAGAGAGATTTAAAAAAACGCATAGGGGAGAGTCGTGCAGTATCGGGTGTTAGTTGCCCGCACTATTGATGGAAAAACAAACGAATACTATAGCCCTGAGCAACGCATTCCGGCGACGTTCGTTTTTCTTCGGTATTACCAGAGTTCTAAGACGTTTAACGTTTACTCTGGTGTTCCGTACGACGAAAGTTATTTTTCATACATAGCTGCAACGGTTGGGCTCACGTGGAGTGTACGGATCGAGAAAATATCGATCACTCTACCTGTGATATTTTTAGACGTGCCTAAATAATTTTTACTAACATTATTTATCACTTAGACCTTCAAATCTACCAACTAAATAGCTGGCCGGTACCGTACGACAATTTCTCGTTCGCTGCAAATTACAACTTTTCTATTTCTACGAATTCTTTATCTTTACGAGAAAATTTAAGGAAAACCATTTGTCCCATTTTATCAAGCACACTTTGTACTACAAATTACTTTTTTCAAATTTCATTTTTACCAACATTAGCCCAAGTTACAGTACAAAAACTTAGTACTGCTCCCCTACACAATTATACAGGTTTCACGGCGAATAGTATCGGGCAGAGTGTATTCTCTAAACGCAAAAAATAGTCAGTCGTTATTCGTGAAAGAGGAAAAGGGGGGGAGAGTAGGGCAGAGGAAATAGAAATAAATGGAGCAGAAAAGTTCCACTCGAGGAACACCCTTTAGATCTCCCATGAATTCCCCTAGTTTCCCATTGTTCCGCCTCCTGCAGCCAATAAACATCCTACTTACCTCGTTTTCTTTATAAAAAAGAAGAAGGAGAGAGAGAAATATTTGAACGATAGAAACGACCGAATTCAAATTTTCACCGTCATTTTCACGCAACGACAGACGATCCATGGATAGACAATTGATCGAGCATGTGTCCAACCGATCTCGATCGCGTATTCAGATCCCCCGTAGCTTTAGAGATCTATGTGAGAACCACGGGGGTTTTCACCCTTTTGTTGGCTCACCCAAGCCGAATGTCAGGGGCTTGGAGAACGAATAGAGATGTGGCGCAAAGATCCAGCAACGCGATTGTAATAATGGTTGACAGGCTAACAAGTCTCTGTTAGGACTCTCAGGGTACACACACCGCGTGTCACCTTACGAAATTGCTAATTTATTTTCGAGAAAATAGACACTCTGAAATTACTCTACGATTGATATCGCAATATTCTCGTCTTCCTGATAAACATCGAAATTAACACGTTCACTGCCAACACTATTCCAACCGTAATACTATATCACGCTTTAGTATTATTTCTATTAACTCGAAATTACCTTTAGCTAGCTACGACGATATTCATTTTATTTTCAATTATTCTAAACATTTCATAAATTTCACAAAATTACCCAAACAATCCTCCAACATACCCTACACCTCAAAATCAATCACTTCCACAAACTTTCCAGATGGAAGGAAAAAATCATACTTCCAACCGATCTCAGCCGTAGTGTACCTACAATTTCCAAATTTTCCAACAAAAATCCCCGAAAAAAAGGCGAAGATACGGCTGTGAATGGAGGGAAGCACGAGTCGCAAGCGCGACGTAAATGCGCGCAGCGTCGGCGGACGAGCAGCAACGAGGCACTTGACTAATGTTCTACCTGTTGTCCCGTAACACCTATGCGCCTACCTGTCCACTCACCTGGAGAGACGCTCGGTCCCCTTCTTTCTCGTATTCACGGGGAAGGCGCGAGCGAGCAAGCGAGCACGAAAAGGTGCGTGCTCGCCACCCTTGGCCAGGTCTCCTTCTCGGCCTGCTGGCACCGGCTTAGCATTTCAATACCGCGGTTGAATACGAGAGAGAAAAGGGAGAAATAAAGAGATAGGAGAGGAGAGACGGTGGTCTTCTATGGGGAAGAGGGTGGACAGAGAAGAGAGTCACGTAAGAGAGTAAGCTTGACTAATGCCAGTCGGGGGCCGCGGTCGTCGCGCGATCATTATTCATTTGTCAAACGATGGATCGGAATCAGGCTCCTCTCTCCTTTTGCTTTCCACTTTTCCCGGTGCTCGGTGGAGTACGAGAGACCTCGGAGAACTGTAGAAGCCATTTCGGTGCACGTCGAATATCGGGATTTTTCGTATTTCTCGATGAACCTCTTTTCTTTTTTGGAGACACTTTTGTCAACACCTTCGCGTAGGATTTCTTCTACCGACTGTGCATCTAAACGCCAGCTATTTACTATTTTAGTAGTATACCGAGTAAGAGAAGCTGACGTATTGCAGATTAATGAAATTTCGAAGTCTTCGGTTTTATAAATTAAAGGAAAAATTAGAATTCATTTTTATTACTGATATAACTGCTTCTGTTTTAGCGGATCTTCGGCAAAATCTGTGGAGTCTGACTCGTTACACGGCAAGGGGATAAAATATTAACGAGGAAGCTTAAAAATTTGTGAAAAAGAAGATGATCAAGGTACTGAAAGGTCAGAGGTCGCGGGAGAGGAAATTGCGCTGAAATTTGTCTCCAAGTAACACGTTTCGAATGATTATCGCCGTGCCAACTTTTATTCTCTATGTTTTATCACATAGCACAGTTCTTTCGGAAAATAAGTGACACGTATACGAGTTGCACCAGGAATCGGTAAACGAAATTACTGGAATTTTGTGTATCAGAGATGTTTTAACTCTCCGACAGTTTGTCCCGAGTGAGACTCGCGCAAGGCGTGAAATATTTCACTGTTTACCTCAAGACTCTTAGGAAGTAATTATTAAAAAATTACAATTTCTTTCACCGTAATCCCTCGTTTTATCAGACTTCGATTCAAAGGATTAATTTGCGTTAATTGAAAAGAGAGAAATGTAAAAATTTCTGAATTGCGTTATACGAACTCTACCGTATATCCTTTGGTTAGTCATCGACGGATCTGATGGACAATCTAACATTTTTCGAACGACGATCGACACTCTGATTTATTCGTGAATCTAGAGACAACTGGTGAAATAAATAAGAATATCGGGTATATAAAATATGCGAAGGAAAGGTAGTTAAATTACAAGACACGACTGGAAGTAGGTAATCGAGTATGCCTAATTGAATACCAAGCCTGAATGAATGATTTTTCACGGGGACACGTTATCGAGAGGCAAAGAGATAATAACGAAATTCGATGGGAATTAATGAACTCGAGGAAGATTGCAAGCGGTCGTGTTTAAGAACGATTAGATTTATCGGTGCAAGCTTGTTCGTAGAACCAGTAGAGTGGCTACTAGGCATTGGTATATTACAGTCTCACCTCCTGGAGAAAGCAGCCTCGCAGTGCGTGCATCGATATCTTCGGTCTCCCGTGTGAAGCTTCACGTGTCGATCTCTGCTACGCTTATGTTTGAACAATCTTGCACACCAGCTGCATCTGTACGGCATTTGGTCACCGTGGCTCTGTAATACAGAATTAATACAACTACTTCAGCCTATCGATATAATTAACGATTGCCCTCTTAGATAGTGATCTTCTTTACGATCGAGAAAGGTGCTCGATGGTGGAATAGTTTCAATCTTTGATAAACTTTGGGTGAATGAAATTGTGGAAATTTGAAATTAACGAAATTTCAATAATTGTAATTGTAAGAATTAGGAATTTTCTTTTTTCCATGCTAAGATGGTGATAATTCGTACTTTGACTATCGGTGAAAAATTCTTTCTAATTTTCTAAGGTATTTTTCACTTTGAAGCACCAATGCTATACTGAGAATTCTGACTTTGACTGTCGGTGAAAAATTGCCCTAATTTTTTGCGATATTTTTCACTTCGAGAATTCCAAATTTTCCCTAAGCAAAGATAGCGATAGTTCATACTTTGACTATCGGTGAAAAATTCTCCCTAATTTTTTGCGATATTTTTCACTTCGAGAATTCCAAATTTTCCCTAAGCAAAGATAGTGATAGTTCATACTTTGACTATCGGTGAAAAATTCTCCCTAATTTTTTGCGATATTTTTCACTTCGAGAATTCCAAATTTTCCCTAAGCAAAGATAGTGATAGTTCATACTTTGACTATCGGTGAAAAATTCTCCCTAATTTTTTGCGATATTTTTCACTTCGAGAATTCCAAATTTTTCCTAAGCAAAGATAGTGATCATTCGTATTTTGACTATCGGTGAAAAATTCTCCCTAATTTTCTGCGATATTTTTCACTTCGAGAATTCTAAATTTTCCCTAAGCAAAGATAGCGATAGTTCATACTTTGACTGTCGGAGACAAAATTCCTCTAATTTTCTGCGATATTTTTCACTTCGAGAATTCTAAATTTTCCCTAAGCAAAGATAGCGATAGTTCATACTTTGACTGTCGGAGACAAAATTCCTCTAATTTTCTGCGATATTTTTCACTTCGTGAGCACGAATGCAATACTAAGAATTCCAAATTTTTCCTACGCAGAGATGATGATAATTCGTCCGTTGACTATCAATGAAAAATTCACTCTAATTCTTCCCCGATCTTTTTCACTTCGTAAGCACGAAACGCGTGGACGTCGTGATACTGTACTGTTCAACGAGGAGACGATCGTTTCGCCCTTCCGTCCGGATTGTCTCTTCAAAGGAGCCGACGGCTCGAAAGTCGTACGTGCCGAGGTTACTCCGTTGGACGACTCGAAAAGAGAGCATAGCGTCGCGGTCGAGAAGAAGACAAAAAAGAAAGAAAATAAAAAAGAAACAGCTGGACAAAGAGAATGACCCGGCCCGTTTGCGATCATATCGGTCACACTGATCTACCTGGGTGACAACCAACGGGGGGGAATTCCTCGCCAGGAACTTTCCTGCCCGTCAATCCTTTTGCTCCTCGAACCACCGGCCAGGAATCTCCTGGTGGATCGTCTTGTCCTTCTCGAATTCGTGATTCTCATTTTATCAGCCTTATCGAGGCTTCGACTAACTCTGGAAAATTGCTCCGTTTTAAATTATCTTTCCAGAAAGAACTGATATTTCATGGCTTAGAAATTTAACCTAAGTCTGTGGAAACTTTAAAATTGATCAGTGTTTAGAAATATTACTCTGTTATCAGTGTAACTTTATTTGTCAAAAAACAAGACCGCTGCAATTATTTGCGAATATTACCCCAAGATTTTTCTCGAAGATTTTCCAAACGCGATCTGTGAAAAAAGCCGAGAGAGAGAGAGAGAGAGAACGAAGGAAGATTTCACAGCCTCTGAACGAAATTTATCTCCGTTATCAGTGCTCGTATCTGGTGGTGGAAGCGCGATTCAGCTCGCGTATGTGGAAGCGGCCTTTTATCGGTGGCTTGAAAAGCCGTAGAGAGGAGAAGCCGAACCACCTGGACGAACAACCTGACCGGTACAACCTGTTATGGGCCATGGAACAGATTTTGACCCGAAGATGACCCGCGGATGTCGGCTTGGACGCGGAAGAGCCTCTCCTCTAATGCCACCGCCATGCAAAACAGAAAAGTTCGAATCTGCCACGCGACGTCCTCTCTGCAAACCTTACTTTCCTTACAACATTCTCAAATTTCCACCAACTCCAGCCTTGCGTCGTAATTAAAGGCAACCAGAATGCAACGTGGAAACGTATCTAACAACGAGAAGTAATCGGAGAACGCGACAGACGTTCGCTTGATTTTTCCGAAATTTATCCACTACAAAATTTCCAACCGTTTCATTCGAACGTCAAATACGAAATACTGTACTAAGCTTTCTCAAAGAATATCAAATGCACCGTTCGAAGAATTGTTATGCAAAAAATTAACACCGTAAGTTTCCAGGCAAACTTTCCCAAAATCTTCGAAATTTCTAAATTTGCATAACAAAATTTGGCAAAAATGTAACGTAACAATGTCTGAAGACTATCGACTCATATGTGCGTTCACAAAACACCACGAACACAATCGATAACTCGCTATTTTTAAGCAATAAAAATAATTCCCTTTGCCTGTATTTAACCCTCTACTGTCGAGGCGGAGTCTCGGAGATTTTTTGTTTCCTTCCACTCTATTTAGAACTGAGCATTATTATATTAAAATGAAATTAATATAGCCATTCGTTAGAAAAATGTGTAATAAAGGTAAATCGGTAAGAAAAGTTGTCAGAAATGTTCTATATTTATGTATAAACTAACTGGAAGTTCAGGAGTTTCGTAGAATCCATATCGGGCTTTACGTCCCAAAAACGGTGTCTCGACAGTAGAGGGTTAAAAAAAAATACAATTTTCAAGTGATTTAGCGTAAAAAAGAAAGGATCGATATAGTTATACGTTCCCAAGTAATCATTATCTCAATACGGCAGGTAGTGCTCCGTCCTCAAAGGGTTAACTACGGGAGAAGAGTTATAATACCTGTTCGTGCTTCTTCAGATAGCTGAGCCGTGGAAAGGTGCGGTCGCAGAATTGACAGGGATAAGGAGCGGTCGCGTTGTTCCCGTCGGCGTTCACACCGACGTCGGCGTCGACCTCTGGCTCCGACGGGAAGCTGGTCGACGTCGGCGTCGCGCAAGACGACGGCGTCTCTCCGCCGCGTCGCGAGTTCGGACCGCCATCCTCGCTCTGCCACGACGAACTTCCGGTTCCCAAGGCCTCTGTAATCCGAACAAACCTTACATTCGCATTTCATCAAAAATAAATCGTAATTACTTTTCTACAGAGTGTCTGCGCAGTCGTCGAATTCACGTGAATGAAGAAAAATGGGAGAAAGGGGGCTGTCCGGCGTGTGAGAGAAATAAATGGACAAAGGTGAGGAACAATTTGTGTCAACTATGAATTTCATTTTTACGATTATACGTGAAATTTCTTTCCTTTTCGAGGAGGAAAGAAAGGAAATTTTCAGCGATTTGTCACTCTTACCCCAAAGAGTAATGATCTGTGAAGTAGAAGGTTTGTCTTCAGATTCGAAGCGACGATCGAGAAGGAAAGACAGCGTCTCGACTTACGAACGAGTGATCTTTTCGGAAACAGGTTTATAAATGTCGTAAGACGGACCAGTTTCATAAATGACCTTACGAACCCGAACATACGTAGAAATATTACGAGTCTGCCGGCTGACCTCACATCGCCCGTTACATGTCCCTTTATATTGTTTTCGTAACGAGTGTGCGGTGAAACTGGTACCATTAACCTGAGCGCCTCGTCAAGAAACTTTGTCAAGTCCAAAGATCCAGGCTGGAGGACTGGAAAAGTACATTCCTCGCGGGAATTCTTGGATCGACCTGCCCGTTTTATCCATGCATCGCGATTTTCACCCGGTAAATGCCCCCGTACGAAATTGCCTCGCGGCGATAAACACCATTTCTGGATTCCTCTGTTTCCAGAGAGAATCTTGATAACTGGAGGAAGCAAAGAGGAAATCTTCGTTTCCTTAAACAAGGAGAATTAGCGATACGGTGATCTGTAATACGAAAATGAGATATTCTCGTACTCTACTGAGTTTTTCTCCACGGAATTTCTCGAAACGTTAAAGCGTGAAAATTGGTGAAAAAATGATGTTTCAGGTAAATACAAAACGTAGCGCGAATGAGATATTCTCGTACTCTACAAGTTTTCCTGCACAGAATTTCTCTAAACGTAAAGGTTGAGAATTGGAGGAAAATAGGATAACGTGGCGTGAGATTGGAAAGAGACGAAGATCGAGGAAAGAGAAACGAGTAGTAGATGAAGAAAACCGGTGGCAAAGGAGACATCCGGACGAGGCGAGTCGAATAATTAATAATTGCCAGGAATGAAGACTCCCACCGGAGTTGGATAGAGCAAAGTGGCCCTGGTAAATGGTGGAAATGACTCGGCTAGTTGGCCGTTTCCTCATTTGCCCGGTCCACACGCTGGATCCGACACCCACCATTGGATTTAAGAGATTTTGCGGAATCCCGTCTCCACGAACACGAACACGAAGCTGAAGAAGAACACCCAACCAACGAGATCGGATCACGGACGCGGATCTGCTTAAATGGGTCGCATCCTCCACCTACGCGTCCGGCTCTCGTTTTTTTCCCTCGACAGCTTTCTGTTATCGCGTAGATACCAGTGCACAGCGATCACGGGATCATTTACGAGGTGATTCGGAAGTTTTCTACGGTATCGAGGTAATTTCGTGTGGAAATATCGATATTCGTAGCAATTTCCTCGTGATTCCATGCATTTTTGGGATTCTTTCAACGATTCCTGTATTCCTGTGCGTTACTCTATTTTGAACCCTTTGAACTCTCAAGATTTTTTTAAATTTTCTTCTCAATTATTATTTTAAGAATTTTATTTGAAATGCACTTCAAAAGACATTTGGTTGATAGGAACCAAGGAAAATAGTATCAAGGATCATCATGTGTACCTATTGCTCACCCAGGTAAAAGAAATATTGCGAAATATAATACATATTTAAACTGGCAATTTAAAAATGACTTCATTCATACCTGTGAATAAAACTGATGTCGAGTCACACTCGACAAAGGAGTCCAAAGTGTTGATACACTTCTTACGCAGACTTTTATGCAAATTCATATTTTCGAGGGTATAGTAAAAACAAGTGAAAATTATTTCACCTACCACGTATTACAAAAAGCACTATAATTCGTACATTTTTTCATATTACCTGCATTCTGTGCAATTTTGCACCTTCGAATTTCCCATAAACGCAGTCTGATTATTATCGACACTTGCGTGGAAAATGATTTTTCTGCGCCATTTCAAAAATCTGAAAATCGAACGGAAGGAAGTTGAAGGCGCAACCGATTGCCTTATTGTCGTTCAAATAAGAAGAGAATTTGCCGTGCTGGGGAGATTTGGTATATCGAACGGGTGCAAGAGGACGAAACTCGTGAAAAATCAGGTGTTCCTGCAATTGTGCAACGCGCGAATCGTGCACGTATCGGGGCACTCGCCCAATTGGCATCCCGCATGACTCACACGCGCCTCTCCTCTTCTCGTAGAGAAAAAGAGACACGGCGGATCGGGTGAGCACGCAATAAATATAAACCGAGCTGCCGATCGAGCGTACGAAAGCACCCAGCTGATCCCGTCGTCATCAACAATTCGGCATCGACTGCCAAGAAATCAGGATCAAGCCTGTCGTCAGCCCATTCATGGAAAGCTTCGATCGTTCCTAGAAATCCTCTCCAACGATCCATCTGTTCTAGTATACCAATAGATCTCTGCTCGCACGAGTCATTCTGAAAATTCCTCCGAACCACAATTACTCGATACGCACGTTGACATTCTTCGCGAATGAAATGCCGCTCCACAGAAAACATTCGTAGGAAAAGTACCTGTACAAATACTCGCGTTATCACTTTAAAAGGGGCGAAGATGAGCAATTCTAAATAGATTCGGTATTCATTTCTGAAAACTTTCAAGTAAGATCGTACGAACACTCTTCATCCCTTGAAAAAAGGACAGAAAAACCGTCGAGGGGAGGAAATTATACGGTCGAAAGTAAGCGATACTCTGTTCTTCTCTCTGTGGAAAAAAGAAAGGGGTAATAACGTGAAAAGGAGCGAGGCAAGGACGTGAAGGCCTGTTTGGGGATTGAAAGGGGGGTTTTATTTAGAGTCTCGATTCCGTCCAATCAGCGGCGATGTGTCATCGACGCGAAAATAGTCGCACTTAACACTGGCAGCTCTTTTCTGCGACCTGCCGATGCCAGCCGTATTGCATTGTGTTTTTATCTTTTCGACGTGTGCGTGCGCCCATACAGCTTCCCTTCGTCGCATGCGGCCGCGTATAATGTTGTCACCTCGTGCCCGTCGCTATTTATAGGATGCTTCGACGACGCTTATTAATAGGGGGCCGACTTAACGCCTTCGTTAATTGTGACTTATGTTAGCACGCGAACCTCTGACAGGCCTTCTTCTTCTCCACGCAGTGGTTTGCGCGGATTTTTCGAATTCCCATTGGCGTCGTACACCGTTCGTCGTTCGTGTCGCAGAAATTTCCCTCTGATCGATCCACGCTCCTTCCGTTCTTCCGCGGTTGTACAATTTTCGCCGCTTTGCATCGCTAATTGGGGATTCAATTGGGAGATTAAGACGACGAGCGGTAGTGGAACTTTCGATAATTCGTTCGATTCGTCCCCTAATTCTGACGATGCTTGTGAACTGACGGAATATATTCGTAACCGTTTGAAATTTCTGCGAGCGATTATTGCGCGAAGTATGGCATTCTTTTTTAGATCGAATACGTGTACTCGATTTTTCGAGATGTCAAAATTTCTATAGTCGTGTATGACAGCATACTCTATTAATAATCGGTACAAGTGGTTTCAACATTGTGATCTACGATGTTCGTCCTATAAGTAGTAGCCTCGAATTTTAATTTGCTCGTATTACACCTCGAATCGCGAGGCTTTCGGAAAATTTCTGTCGCACAGTCGATGATAACGTGTCGTCGCTTTTAATAGCGAAGGAGTTAACGATCAATTACCGGACCGGGATTGAAATTGAGGAGGAACGAGGAGGGACTGATTCAAACGCTCGATCAATTTAATGAAAATCTGCCCGTTCGGGAAATCAATTGCTTCCAATTTCGTCGTATGAAACACGCGTGATCGTCGATCGTCGAAACGTGGAAAAAGAAGGATGAAAATGGTGTCATACCTTTGGACTTGTGCTGCTCCTCTTGAGAGGGTTCCTTGTGGGCCTGGATTTTCCCTATCAACAACTCCAGCCTCGAACTGTTCCCCTTAAACAACATTCTGATCTTCCTCGGTACTCATTCAGACCTCGTATACTCGAGATTCACCATCACCTTAGTACCAATCAGTCCGAAATCGTGTCTTCTACCTCGGTATTCATGCATAGAAAAGTTACAAAGACGTTCTACCGACGATACTCTTCAAAATCATCGCTCGAGTGTGAACGAAGGGTGTTCCAAAGTGTCAATCGATCCCAGCAAACGTCACACGTATCTTCTTCAAAGTTCTCGACACCGAATCTTTATCCGGCGTTATCAGAGGCAAACAGAAGGTTTCCAAGATTTCGCTCAAAGTCGAGAAGAGAATTGAAAATTGCCAAGCATACGAGAATCGCAAGAAATCAGTCCAACGGTGATAGATCAGTTCCCCAAATTTCACACCGTCGATTTTCCATCGCACTCTCCTCTTCTATACCATGAGAATCTTCTCTGCTTGGAAAATGTGGAAAATTAGGAAAGATTGCGAAAGAGGAGAGATCCTTTCCTCTCCGTCTACCAGGCACGATCGATCCGGCCTCGATCGTTCGATCGAAAGGACTGACGGTCTCTCGAGTCGACTCGTCCCCGCGGAAAGGAACACAGAGTGGTCGGGTGTATAAACGCGCACTAACCGGGAACCCACGGTGACTATTATCGCGCACGATGCAAAAGCGACACACCAAGTCCTCCTCCTGAAAGCGAAAGAGTGCCGTGTTGTACGTGGAAGGAGAAGGGACCACAAAAGCCGGCCGAGAGAGGCTAGGGAGTCCCCTGGGAAACCAGCCACCGCATTGGACGGTAGGCGGGATCGCACACTAACGAGTACACCCACCTTCCGGCTACCTCTCGCACCTATTTAACCTTTCATACACCTTCTGCCACCTAATACACCCACGCGACCCATCAAGGCACAAGGGTCACCGCG